CAGACGTGCCGAGGCTCGGAGAGTGGACCAGGCCGACTGAAGGCCCGATGCGGGCGGACCAGTCACACTGTAGACTCAGAGAGTGGACCAGGTGGGTTGAAGGCCCGATACGGGCGGACCAACCCCACTGTAGACTCGAAGGACATGACTAGACCTGGAGGATGGATCCGGTGGACTGAAGGCCCGATACGGCGGACCAGTCACACAGTAGACCCGATATGCATGGCTGTTCTATGTTCTGTTATGTTATGTATGTTTTATATGTTATGGGCCGGAAGGCAATATGTTTTGGACCGGAAGGTCGTAGCCTGGAAGGGCGTATATGTGGTTGGTATTTTGGGGGTATCTCACTAAGCTTTCGGGCTTACAGTTGTGGTTTAATGTTTTTCAGGTTCTTCAGGAGACTGTGGCAAGGCGAAGGCACGATCGTACCGCTCCTCATGATTTTGTAGCAATGTGATTCTGGGAATACTCTACATGATTTGTATTGAAAACCTTTTTGTAAACAATTTAATGAAAATCGGGTTGTTTTTGAAAAATTTAAATTGGTTGTATTTTTCGGTTGTTACACTAAGATTACATACGTAACAACCACATATTCACTTTTGCCTATATATATATATATATATATATATATATCTTCTAGTAGATGTCTATTAAGAAGAGCGGTCTTTCTTGAAATCTATTTGCTATATTTCATATTGAGAACATGAATTTATAGTAAACAGTATACTTGTTGATCTAATCATACCTACTTGTGAAATTTTTTGATTTAAGTCAGTGTCATGAGTATGAGAAATCCTTTTATAACAAGTCTTGCATTAAATGTGTATGGTTATCCATGTAATTTATTCTTTCTAAAAGAATCACTTACTCCTTTTACCCTTTCTATAGACACAAAGTTCAATCAAGACCATCCTTGATTATCATACATAGATTATGTCTCATGTTCATGACTCTAAGTCCTTTATCAGATTCGAGATCTGACATAGCATCTTGGTATTTGATGATTTGCTAGAAACCATCAATAAAATCTCATCAATGAGAGATTCCACATTTATCAAGTCATAGATGATTCATGACACTAATGTGAACAAATTATGTTTCTGATTAGCTATTATTCAAGTTTAGCAATTTTTGTTAAATCTGGTGCCAACTTTGACTACATCAGGTTATGGTTGATGAGCAGCTTCAAGTTTCATGTACCTCTCACTTTCTTTGTCATCAGAAGCTTGCTTTCTATTGACTCAACTATCTTGGGAATAAGATAACTTATTCTTGGTGGGTTTGTACATAATAATCCAAGCCAAATTTAGATATTATACAAATAAGTATCAAGTAGATTTTGGGTTTAAAATCTTTAGTCCAACATAGGCTTTATATCCACAAAACTTTTAATAAGATATGGATAGAGCCTTTCCATACAACATCTTATGAACAAATGTTACATCTACTAATTAATTCGTGATTGTACTCAAGGTACAATCCATAGTGTCCTAGATGTTATCCCAAAGAAATAAAGGGAGGACATTTCTACCATTTAGAAAGTAAATTATACAAAGTAAGATTTAACCCATCTTTTTATCATTAAGGCCTTAAATAGTTCTGTACCAGGTTGTATCTCAACTTTATATTTGAAACCTTCAACAAAGATTTCACAATTATATTTGAACATGTAAAATATAATTTATAACTACTATAGTTGTTAATAAAGTTGATTTGGTATCTTGTGCAAAATCTTAGACATTCATTAGAAAGGAAGTCATACACTATAGTATATAATCTCTTAACAATTTATTTTCTCTACCACTGTGAAAATATCATTAGGAATCATTTATATATAAATAATATTTATCTATGTCAAATAAGCTACATTATTTGCCTTCAAGGATCCCTTTCTTGAACTTGGAATATGTGAACGTCATTTATATAATAAAGATAACAATGTCAGAGAGGAGTTTGATTTAAAACAAGTTTATGTCACAACTAGCATTTTTGTCTAGGAAATTCCGTATTCATGTAATTAACTCTAGTGTAACTTGTAACCTAAGTTGAAGTATTGTGCAAATGATAATTCCAAAAACAACCATTTAAATCAAAATTCACTCGTGAAGTTCAAAAACTAATTCAATACATCTCGTATACTCAACTGTGGGTTTGAAACCCTAATATCCCGGTTCAAACTCAGAATGGACCAGGATCCTCTTATTGGGCCTAATGGGCCAATAAACCCTCAATTTGGTTATTTTGGGTCAAGGAACCCTATTTGGGCTCTAGTTGGACCTACATTCTTTAACCTAGCATTTTGGGCTATATTGGGCCTAAAATGTCCCATAACATTTTCATGGGCCTTGTTGGGCCATAAACAACTTTTGATCCTTATTGGGCCATAAACCCCCTTTCTTTATCATTATTGGGCCGTAAACCCTTATATGGGCCCAATGGGCTGAAAACTTTCATATTGGGCCCAATAATTTCAATTATATTCACAAATGACCCAAACTCTTCTTTCTCTTTTCATTCCCCCTCATTCTCGGTTATATAAAAAAAATAATAATAAACAAAGGAGTGGATTTAGGGCTTGACACCTCATGTTTGTCTAGTGGATATCCATGCAAAGATTGCACGTATCAAGGAAAACTACTTATCACTGTCTTCATAAGTCAACTCTCCGTCGTTCCTCCTCTTCTCTACCTCTCGGTCACTCTCTCCCTCTCCACCCCCGTTCACCACTTCAATTCCAACTCATTTCCTCAACATTGAACGTTCTCCCACTCTCTATCTTTCTAAGATTTCGTGTGAGTGTGTGCGTTTTTCAAGAACTCTTCATCAAAGATCATCATTTTTGGTAAGTTATTCCCTCATCAAAGTGTTTAACTTCATTATATGATAAGTCTTTCACTTCTTAACACTTAGGTGCTGTTTGTTTTTCTGAAGCCAAAATGTCTGCAGTCTGCGGACCACATCTGCAAGCCTCTGCAGCAGAAGAGGTGGACCAAACGTCTACAGTCTGCAATAAGAAGACTGTTTGTTTTTTAACGTCTGCAGGCTGCTGAAATAAACTGAATTTTAAATAAAATTATTTTACAAACTTAAAATGATTTTTCAACACCAAAATTTTAATAATAATAGTCTTATAACATTGAAAATAAAATTCATGCAACTAAATTAGTCATAGAATAAAAAAAATGTTTTACAATAACAATTTCATTTAAAACAATTCAATCTATATTGTGCATCAACTGATCAGCAATTTCATCACGTAACTGAGTCATATATTCACGGTCTACTGCAGTACCATGTGTTGGAATCCCGTCTTCATCATCATCAATGGCCACATTGTTATTTCGAAACGGGACATTGGGTTCATCGTATCGTGCGAAATACTCATCACTCAATCCTTCTTTCCTTATATAATTATGAAGCGCGAAGCATGCCACGACAATGTTTCTTTGTGTCACAAACGGGAATGGTGCCATCCTCTTCAATATAGGGAAGCGTGCTTTCAACACACCAAAAGCACACTCAATGACATTCCGAAGTTTCGCATGTCCATGGTTAAATTTTTCTTTATTGGTCAATGCACGTCTTTGACGAAAATCTCCAAGCCAATACCTCACATTACGATAAGGGGCCATAAATCCTCGAGTGTGTGCATACGTGGCATCACAAAGATAATATTTTTCTGAAAAAAATCCAAAACACTAATCAATTTTCAAATTAAAATAAATATATTTAAAAAAAAAACAAAAATTTACCTGGTGATGGAAACGGGAATGATGCTTGTGGATCGGCTACTACTTCTGATAATATTCTAGAGTCATGCGCTACCCCTTCCCACCCGGTCACAACAAATGTAAAAATCATATTGAAGTCACAAATTGCCAATACGTTTTGGTAGCAATCTCCCTTTCCCCTAGTTCTATATAAGTCTTGTTTCTTAGTAGGGACAACAACATGTATCAAAGTGCCATCAAGTGCACCAACTGCTCCTTTGAAAACCCTTCGTAGACTCCTATTATGTCCTGGAATGTTTGGATTCGGATTAAAAGATGTTGGTACTATAACATCTTGTGCGAAAAGCATCATTTTTTCCAACACTTCATAAAAAAAATTATGAATTGTTTGCTTAGAGTGTTGAAATCTCCGCTTGATAATCACGTAACGTTGATTATGTCCGATCATCATCAAAAAATAGCCATCTTTTCCTCAACTGATACATGTTTGCTGTCCTTTAATGAGTAATTTGCTCTAAAATGAGCACATAGTCGTACAAAAAATTCACGGGACATGCATAATACTTCAACACATTGTAAATGATTACGGTATAATAACTCCAATGTGTATTTGTGCCCCGTCATTTCCGAATCATTATCCCGCAATCGTTTCACACCCCTCTTCCAAAAATAACGGATGTATAGGTACATTAGAATTACGAGAAGTAACTTTTAATCGTGATCCATATGAACCTAAAATCAACAAAGTAGAACTTTAAAAAACATTACATAAACCATATTTCAACTATCAAATAAACATTCCATTTATCATATTTCAAGTCAAAATAACATTACATAAACCATATTTCAAGTATCAAATAAACATTCCATTAATCATATTTCAAGTACCAACAAGTGCAAAAAGACCTAACAAAATAGTTCCAACAAAGGCAAAAACATTTAACAAAGTAGTTCCAACAAGGGCAAAAAGACCTAACAAAATATTTCCAACAAAGGCAAAAACATTTAACAAAGTAGTTCCAACAAGGGTAAAAAAGACATAACAAATACTTTCAACACTAGAAAATCATCGAACAATCTTCCCATCCTTCAAAACTCCTAAACTGGTACCCGTCATCTCAAGCCACCCTCGTAATATCTCGGGAACATCAGGCAAATGCATCCACACTCTCTCATGTTCATGGTTCCTCCAAAAATATGATATGAGACAAAGCGTAAAGGATCTGTAGGGCCTAACAGAAGGACCTCTAACTTCTCTAAACACTAAGGAATTGTATACCCTTTAGTCAAACTTTGTAGAGCTTTCTTCATTTCCAATGCTAAATCGTCAGTAGTAACAGAAGTTCCATCAGGTGAAGAAGCAGATGGTGAGGCACTAGGAGCTACAGGAGTTGAGAGTTTAGCCCTTTTGTTGGGGTTACCGGATGGTGTAGTAGTATATGGTGAACCAGCAGAAGGTGAAGCAGTAGAAGGTGAAGCAGCAGAAGGTGGTGGCTCATGATGAGAAGTGTCAACACCAGCATCATCCATTGCATCAAAAGGGGTGGCGGTGATTTGAAGTGGTGGAACACGACAGGAGGATGAGCCAGCTACTGATGATGATTGGGTTGAGTAACTCCTAAAATTACCAGTAGCACTATTTCCATCAAAAAGACGTGCACAAAGGTCTGGAAAAGGCAGTGGAATTGTTCTCAAAGTAGCAGCTTTCGGATGCCCCTAAACCCAAATGTAACAAGAAATAGTATAAGAATATTTGGCAACTTCAAACGTAAATGTTATATATACATATATATATATATTATATATATATATATATATATATATATATATATATATATATATATATTATTGTATATTAATATATATATATGTACCTTCTTAAAATCATCCCACTCCTCGGCTATTAAATTAAAAGTGTTTGTTTGAGAATTGTATATATTACTGGTTTTGTTTTTTAAATATACCCATCCAGTGTATTTGGCTTTCAGATGTCATATGTCATATGCTTTTTCATCTTTGTTTTTAGTCAACCCCAAATTTCTCCTTAAGAACTCTTCCAAGCCTTATCCATGAATCTTTCTGCAAACTCAATCCTTTTCTACCAACACTCTCTACTTCTTCAGTACAAGTATCCAATAAGCATTTTAAATGCTCATTGGTCCATTGTTGTTTTTCTCCCATCTCTAATAACCAAATAACAATAAACAATCAACAAGTAACATCATTATTTCAAGAAAAAGTTTTTATTTTCATGAAAAATTTGTTTTACGACACATTTGTAATTTTGTTTTATTTTCAATCACAATAATGTGAAACTTTTTATTCAATTATAAATAACCTCAATTAGAGTGTTTTAATTCAAAGTTTTCTAAAAAACTTTATAAATCAAATAAACTTCACTTTAACGACAAAAACTTTACTTCTATCAAATAAACGAAACTTATGACTCTTTTTGATGCTTTCTATCATATACATACAAAATCAACAATCATATACATACACACTATCATATAAATATACACAATCAATAATCATATATATATATATATATATATACACACAACCAAAACTCATATACACATAAACAATCACAATCAACAAAGATATACATATATACTATCATATACATATACACAATCAAAAATCATATACACATAAACAATCACAATCAACAAGAGAAAATGAAATCTTTTGATTCACAGTTATGTATATTGGCTTCCAATCAAAGAAAAATATAAATCCAATTTTCTATTTGCTAGGAATTTGGCTGTCATATTTGAAATAAAAAATCTTTCCTGTGAAACAAGGATGTGAATCAAAAAAGAAATTGAACAAGGATGTGAATCAAACAAGAAATTGAACAAAGATGTGATTCAAACAAGATGAATTGAAATTGAAATCGACAGAGAGAGAGAGGAAGGCAGCGATGGTTTTGATCGGTCAAACAAGATGATCGGTCAAACAAGATGTGAATCAATCAAGATGAATTGAAATTGAAATTGAACAAAGATGTGAATCAATAAAAGAAAGAGGTGAAGACAAACCAGATTGGTCGCTAGTTGAAGTTGTCGCTGTGCTTGTTGTTCGCTCGTCGCTGCTGCAATCGACCGTGATGGTCGCAAAATCGGAGGACGCCGGATCGGAGAGGAAGGCGGCGATCACTGGTTTTGATCGGAGAGGAGGGTTGCGATGGTGCTGGTCACTGCAAGATGGAGTACGATCGATCGAGGGTTTTTTCTGGGAAGGTGGGAGGTTGGACGACGACTGGAGGCGGAAACAATAAAAAACACATTTTTTTTAGGTCAAAAGGCTTGCAGACTTTAGAAGAGGCTATCCCATATCTGTGTGGTGAAGACCTCGCGCAGACGTTTTTATGTCTGCGCACTTTAGAAAAACAAACAGACTGCAAACCATTATGTCAGCGCGTGGTCTGCGCCTTGCAGACAGAAGAGGTCACGCAGACCTGCAAAGAAAAAACAAACACCCTCTTAATCTCATGATCCATATTCATGAAATCTCCTAAAATTCGAAGATATCCTCAAAGAAGTAAGCTCGGCCAAAAACTCTTCTGAATATGTAGCACCTGGTTCCTGGTATGTAAATCTTAATTGAGTATTTTCCATTTTAAGCCTTGGACTCGGCGAGTCATAGGTCCGACTCGCCGAGTAGGGATGGGACCCGGGACACGTTTAAGGTGGTGACTCGGCGAGTCCATATCCTGGACTCGGCAAGTCACTGCTGTTGGATGAAACCCTAAGTTTCAGGGGTTTGCACCCTATTTAATCCCCCTTTCCGCCCCTAAGCGAGCCCCCATTCACCCTCAGAGCCATATACCTCGTTCTAAGCCTTGTTTTGTGGATTTGAAACCATTTGGTGTGTCTTATTGAAGATTGGAGTGAGTAGGGAAGGAGATCGAGAAGAAGAAGATGAGGTCAAGCACTTGTGAGCTATTTCAGAGTGATATATAAGGTATGGCTCATTTTCCCCCTTGTCTCCATTCTTATGGCCCCATTAAAGTCCTTCATGACTCATTTTCCAAGATTGTATGTGCATCATATTTCAAAATAAGTTGATTGGCCTCTAGATCTAAGCATGGTTGAGCTCCAGGAGCTCAGATCTACTACCTTTATGAACCCATATTGCATGAAAACCTTAGATCTACTCTTTTGGTGCATTTTTGAACCCTAAAAACCCCATAGATGGATCTTTACACGTAAAGTTGGAAACTTTACGTGTTATTCATGCTCTAGGAGCCCAGATCTACGAATGGCATGGACTGGATTCGAGCAAAATCGCATTTATGGCTCTTGCATGGAGCGAACTCGACGAGTCGCTCATCTGACTTGGGTGACTCTAGTCGCGAGTCTACGAGTTTGTCCCCTTTTAGCTTTGTCGAGTTGTGTGGTGAGTCCAGGAGGGACTCAGTGAGTTGGAAGCCAAAACTCACCCATAGTGGAACTCGGCGAGTCGCTGCCCATACTCGGCGAGTTCAAGGCAATCTCCTGAGATCAAGATCATACTCGGCGAGTTGTTCATACAACTCGGCGATTCACAATATAACTTGTTCATCGGATGAAGATGAACTCGGCGGGTTGTTCATACAACTCGGCGAGTAGGATGAAGGACTTGAACATTAGTTTGGAAGGAGAACTCGTCGAGTCGACGCCTAACTCGACGAGTAGAAATAGAAATCAGGTCATTCGTTTGGACATGGACTCGGCGAGTTGGCGAGCCAACTCAGCGAGTCGGGTCGAATGGAAGTTGACTCTGACTTTGACTTAGGGCATGATCAGGGGTAAAATGGTCATTTTACCCAAAGGTCAGTTAGCAGTTTTTGACTAAGTGTTTGGTGGGAATTACAGCCAGAGGATTTTCGGAGCAGCAGTAGTAGTAGTAAGACTATTCCCACGATGATCAGCAACTACTCCGAGGTGAGTTGCCTTCCAGTAGTGGTGGGTCTAAGGCCACAATGCCGGCCCACCAGTAGGAGTTGTATGTTACATGATTGTCTTTGTGATATCATGTAGGTTTGCTACTACCTGATATGTTATATGTTGGCATGATATGTTGTATGTGATAGTAGTAGAGTTTGGTTGTTAGGACCGAAGGGTAGTTAGACACCTTAGATATGTCTGATATTACGTTTGTGTTATGATATCTTTGATAGTGGTAGTAGGGGGTGAAATAGTCTCCGAGGTTCGATTATTAGGACCGAAGGGTAGTCAGAACCCTAGAATAGCTCGACATGGGTAGGTCAGCACCCCAGAATGGCTTGACACAGGTAGGACGGCACCCCAGAATGGCCGCACGGGTAGTCGGCACCCCAGAATGGCCGTACTGAGTAGTCAGGCACCCCAGAATAGCCTGGCAGTATGTATGATATGTATTGTATGGTATGTGGTACGATGGGGGAACTCACTAAGCTTTGTGCTTACAGTTTTACAGTTTTGGTTTCAGGTACCTCCTCATCGAAGGGGAAGGAGCTGGCTCGGTAGCGGCACATCATGCACACACACACGGGTTTCTGCATTTATTAGATTTCTATGGGATTTATACTCTGATGTTTCGATTGGTTGTATGACTTGACTTTTGATCATGGTTTATGTTGTGTTGTAGTTTGATCAAACAATGTTTTTATTTATTAACGTTTCTAAAGTAATGTTTTAAAAAATGAAATTTTTGGACGTGAAAATTGGGTCGTTACAAGTTGGTATCAGAGCCCTGGTTTGAGGGATTCGGACACACCTTCGGGAGTGTTTGAATAGGACTAAGGATCTAGGAGTAATGCCTTATGTGCCTGCTTTATGTGCTTCAGTATATGAAAGAGCTGCATGCTAGAGCTGAGTAGACATTAGTAGGGTAGCATGTTTAGGTTATTCCTGATAGTATGAGTTTAGCATTGTATGCTGGTTCAGTTCTCTCTTAGAGGATAGAGTTGCTTGAGATTGTTTTTCTAACGTCCAAATGCTGTTTGCTTTGTGCTATGTGGGCCTTGAAGTGATGGGAGTTAACTGTTAGGTGAATACGTTTAAGTCACATTGTAACAACCCAAAATCTCAAGTATTGTTAAATTGCATTTTGGGGTGTTTAAAGGGGAGACTCGGCGAGTTGGAGCCAGACTCGCCGAGTAGGGTCGCAGATTTGGTCGCGGGTTCGCGACTGGACTTGACGAGTCCAGGTATGGACTCGGCGAGTCGACGTTGTTCAGCGGAAACCCTAGCCGTTTCGTATGAGGGTCGTATATAAGGATTGTTATGTCGTCAGTTCACGTCTTTTGGCCGATTGAGGAGAACCCTAAACGACTGTGGTATCTAGAGCAAACTTGAAGGCCATTATTGACTTTGAAGGAATTTTGGTGCAAGAAGAGGAAGGATTTTGGCCAAAGGAAGATCAAGGGGGTCGAGTTCTGAGGTTTGGGGACACAGAGAGTACGTTTTCAGGTTATGTTTCGGATCATTCCTGTTATTTTGATGTGTACACGAATTTAGGGTTTATGAAACCCATTTGGAGATTAGATGGATTGTTGTGTCGTTACCCAATGTTTATAACCTTGTATTAGGACCCTTAGAGGTCCAGAAGGTCCCATGTTTGTTTATTCGGGAATATATGTATCTCAGGAAGCAGTTCGATCGACTGCATGGCGTGGACTCGCCGAGTCGGATGAGCAGACTCGGCGAGTAGCTTGAAGATTTACTGGGACTCGCCGAGTGTGTTCTTCAGACTCGGCGAGTAGAGTCGGGGTGGCCCCGATTCTTCCACGAGGACCTCGTCGAGTCAAGAGGGATACTCGACGAGTAGAAAGGGAACATTCAGGAATTTGTGAGGACGACTAGACTCGCCGAGTCGCCAGGGTACTCGCCGAGTCCAGTTGAGATGGCCGTTGACCAGAGTTGACCGGTGTGAATTCTTAGGGTCAGTTAACATGGAAGATAGAAGTATTAATGAAGAGATATATGATGTTACAGGGAGCTTGTAGCTCGGAGATCAAGTGCAAGGGATTTCAGGAGTTGTTATCTTCCAGCGTCCGCGAGGTGAGTTTTCTCACTATACTGTACCCGGAAGGGTTTGATTGTGTGACCGGAAGGTCAAGTATGTTATGTGTTATGTTTATATGCCATAAATGGAAAGTTAGCTGCTACGCGTGATATACATGTTTATATATGGGCCGGAAGGCAAAGTATTATGTGACAGAAAGGTCAGGTATGATATAGGATGTATGTGCTTTATGTGTTAGAGTATGTTACGGGCCGGAAGGCAGGTTGATATATGATATATGTGCTTTATGTGTTAGAGTATTTGTATGTGTTATATATGTGTATAGGCCGGAAGGCAATTATTCTATGGGCCGGAAGGCAATTATCTTATGGGCCGGAAGGCAATTATTTTATGGGCCGGAAGGCAATTATCTTATGGGCCGGAAGGCAATTATCTATGGGCCGGAAGGCAAATATCTTATGGGCCGGAAGGCGATTATCTCATGGGCCGGAAGGCATTGTGCAGGGACCGGAAGGTCAGGGCCTGGAAAGGCGTACGTGCGTAAGGTGTATATTGGGGAACTCACTAAGCTTCGTGCTTACGTTGTTTATGTTATGTTTGTTTCAGGTTCTTACAGTAACGCGGGATGGCAACGGTTCGATTGTACACACCGAAGAAAGAGTTATATTTTGGAGGATCCTGGTCTTCTATTATAATGAAACTGAAACTATGTTTTGTAATTCGAATGTGAATAAGATGTTAAACAAGTGTTTTAATATTAAATTGATTATTTAAAATGAAAAAATTTTGTCTTAAAAATAACGGTGTTACAAATTGGTATCAGAGCCTTGGTTTGAGGGATTCGGACGCGCCTACGGGTAAATCTGGACTCAAACTGAGGAAGTAAGAAAAGTTTTCAAATAAACGGTTTTCTAAAAGTGAATAAGAGTTCAAAGAGAAAGCAAGAAAGAGCAGTGTGTACAATCAGCCAGAGCCAAACGGTGATTTCCCAAAATACCCTTACTTCTGTGTTATGAAATATTTATTATGCACTTTATGAGATACTATTGCATGCTAGAGACAGGCTAGGTATTTCATATCTTAGGACTAGAGTGGCCTGATTTGTGATGCCTTAGTATAGGGTTTGTTGTTATATGTGCGTTATGCTTTTGTGTGTATGTGATGAGTGAGGGTATCTAGTTAGAACGCACGAGGGGTAGAGCTACAGAGTACAGTGGTACTTCCGAGGATGAGCCGAGAAGGTGGAGCTATCACAGCTAGGGAGTCCTATGTATGCTTCGATGCTCGAATGTTGCTTGCTTCGTGCTTTGTGGAGTTCTCGATGATGGGAGACAACAGCTACTAAGTGAGTATGACGA